AAATACTCCCAGTAATGTGTCTTTAAACTACAATAAATGTGTTTAGAAATAAGTCTGTGTAAAAAGATACATTGTTCTTCTTAATTACATTTTAATTGTAGAATTGTCATTAAAAGGTCACCTAAAATGTCTTAGAACAGTCTGCCCCTAGCCACACTTCCAGTCACACCCCTAAAATTAAAGTATTCCCTATGGGGTGATAACTGTATAATAGTAAAAATTATGTAGATGTGCAAACTGTGCGAGGTGAGATTAGGGTTAAACTGAATTTCAGTGTTTCAATGTATGTTATTTTCCTTTCCTAAGGAAACATTTTTTTTTATTTAATTGATTTCTTAAAGGACAAAGTGAAAGGCTGGAAGAGACATATAGATATAGTGTAGACATATAAATTGTTAGTACAGTTGTTAAGAGGAGGTAAGAGTTCCGCAAACAGGGTGAGTGATATTCTTGATCAGGGGTGTCCAATGACACGAGCCACAGGCGGTCTTTTGATCTACCCTGCCAGCCTATTCAGAGCCAGTGCTATTCAAGCGCTGGTCTTGCTGTGTGCCTTCATGTCCAGTGAGGAAATCAAAGATCCGTCACTTTTCAAAGGCATTTCGCTGTGGCAGAGGCCGAGGGGAGAGGAGGAGCCGGGAGGGTGAATGTTCCTCCCGCAAGCTGGACAGCTCTGAGGAGCTCTCAAGAGGACTAAACTCTGCCTACAGCCAGAGGAGCTGCAGGCTAGAGATAATGCATACCACCAGACCACCAGGGCTTGCAAGGCCCCCACTACCTGAGAAAAAGGTATGTAGAATGGACATAAAGTTACTTGTTTTAAAAAAACAAAAATATAAGTTTTCCTCTCAACCCCCCCACACAAAATATAGGCCCCATAACATCCAACACAGTCACACATTGCACCCCTCACACACACACTACATGCACACACATGCACCCTCACTACATGCACAGCTCTCACACACACTATCCCCTTTAGATATTACATCCCAATTTTTACATGGGATGTGAGCACAGCCTTGAGCAATTACCTCCAAAGTGACAATTCTTTACTAAATAGATTTTATCTTGTACAGCTGCTATACCTATATATGCAGACTGAATAACTAATAAGGTCTATGTAGCGGAGTAGTAGGGGTTAATCCAATGTATCTCCGCTGGTAGTCAGGATAAGCAGGTAAAACACAGGTAGCATAGTAATAATTCCTTCTTCCGAAGAACTAGACGACACATTGCTTGGAGGTCAAGTGAGGTTTTTATTCACATGCTCCGGTATTTATGTGGTTCCCCATGCAAGGGGTTTCCTTAGTCCTTTTACAGGGGTTATACAGTAGGGGACTACATGGGGAACTGAACATGCAAGACATTTTTCCCACCATGCACTGCTGTACGAGAGGGATACTCCCACAGAATATCCTTTTAAATTAAGTGGATTATCCCTCCGCACAGCAGAACCGGGCTTTTCACTAAAAAATACATAACCGGCACATTATTCGTGCTATTGTACCGAATGACCTATAGGTAGAAAGCTGGGATCTGAGCACATACTTCGGTAGATTACCGCTAAGAGCCCAGTACAATCAGCCGAATGCTGCATAGATTAAATTTTAACATGAATTCTTAATAAAACACCCGAATGCACATTTTGAAGAAAAGTACAGAAAAAACGGTGTTCCTGAACGGTCTGGAAGTCCAGCGGTGTTCGTGCCGTTGAGTAGTCAATTTTAGTTCCAGGCACTTGACGACCAAACACTTCTGAGCTAAAAGTGAATCCAAGATGGCCGCCGCGTGGTCGGTATCCGAACGGCGGCCACCCCGCAAATCAATTAACTGGGGAACGCTACAATGTTGCAATCTGTTAATGGGAGCCACACGACCTCCTGTGTGTGGTCTCCCATTCGTTACTTTGTTCGTTTCACGAACAGTGTTGAAAGTCACTGTTCGTGAAACTAGCATAGGAATGCTAGCAGCTTTCGCGCCCCTAGCATTCGAATGCCCTCTATCACCTTTATAAGCAAACACATAAAATCACATAGGGTAAACAGCTTTTCTAGGACAACCCTTAGATATATAAAAGAATAGTCTGAAGTGGCTAGGTTTGTCTAACATAAGGTAATATGTAAAGGATTTATAACTTTGCATGCAGCCCTTGGATTACCTAAGGTTGGACAGGCCTGTTCTAGATAATACCTTAACAGTTTCTAATAATTATTAAATTATTATTGAGAATCGTTGGCCCAAATCACTGACATTATATAAACAGTATTTACATAGACAATTTGCCAACTGCGTATAATACATACGCTGAGCAACACAAAAATATACTGAGGCGCACATACTGCATATGCTGCTTATACTAAACAACGCATACAGAAAATACAACAGCCGCTCCCTCTAAGGAATCAGGCAATCTGATTAGTAACGGTTCCTGTATGAGGATTGATGTATGGGGGTTCTCTCATATAATCTAAGTAAGGGACTTTGCTGGTTGCAAGTGGTGTATAAATGTGATTTATTCCGTTGTCTAATTCCAGCTAAATATTTTAACCCTTGGAGAGCCAGGGGGCCAACACATTCATGTCCAGCCTTTAATGTCTGCATCTAACCCTGATCAAAATGCTTTTTGCAGTGAGTTGTCGAAAACCACTTTGACACTGAATTCATTCATGCATTAGTTACGTAATTATGTAGATGGAGGTTTTTTCGCATTATTGATTGCTGCTGAGTCACATATAAAAAGACTGTGGCTGGCATTGATGCAGCCAGTGCCTATAAAAGCATCTTGTAGCCTCACACTGTATAACCCACCAATGTGTGTCTGCACAGCCAAATTACCCAGCTGCTGCAGAACCTCATATTTAGAGCATATCGGATCCTCAGATTAAATACAGGCCTGCATTGGCGGTTTGTCTTTTGATTGTAGGATGAACAAGGTCAATCAGTAGAACCAGTTACCATCACTGCACGATGTTTAGAAGGAAGTATTAATATTTATCCCAATGCATTCCCAACGGGGGCTGGGCTTAGATTTCAGCACATACAGCTCTCCCTCCCACGGCAAAGTTAAGCGTGGCCACCATTAAGATGACAGGCCATGGACTATATCCCGCTTCTCTTAGGAATGAAATATACGATAGCATTTGGTCAGATACTAATGTTTTTGTTTTTTTAAATGTTAATTTTCAAATATTATTTTTGTCCAGACGACAGATACTTTGTCTCATTTTTACTTGGAATGTTACTTAGTAATGTTTCAGTAAGAGCCTACATAAAAACATGTTCCACCCTTTGGAGAGGGACAAATTCACTCCTCAGCCACTCAATGGTTTGAGCCTGCTCTCCTGTGAATTATGGTAGTTGTAGCCCTGCCCCCCATTAAAAGCTGAGAGGGCTCCTTTAATGGGCCCTCTGTGCTGCAAGCCATGCCCTTTGGCAACCAGCCCATCTGCTAACTTCCCTGCCCTCTTCCATTCCAGAAGACGGACAGAGGGTATGGGTCTGTATGGGTATGGGTCCGTGATTAAATAAGAAACCATCACTTTTCTGGAACTTACACAAATTAATAAAACAATTAAAATCACCAATAACATGTTTTTTTTTATATATATATATATGATGCTTTGTGTAATGTGAACTGGTTCCTGGCTTGTGACAGAGCTATCCCTCCCTCCTCAAGCACCAGGGCCCCTGGCTGTCTCCCAGGCAAGGACTGATCCCTCTATCACTCCGTCCTCTCTGGCAGGTAGCGATCCCTCGGCCCGGTCCATCCTCTCTGGCAGGTAGCGATCCCTCTGCCGGCTCCGTCCTCTCTTGTAGGTAGCGATCCCTCTGCCCGTTCCATCCTCTCTGGCAAGTAGAGATCCCTCTGCCCGCTCCGTCCTCTCTTGTAGGTAGCGATCCCTCTGCCCTCTCCATCCTCTCCGGAAGGTAGCGAACCCTCTGCCCGCTCCATCCTCTCTGGCAAGTAGAGATCCCATTCTGTCCTCTCCGGCAGGTAGCGATCCCTCTGCCTGCTCCATCTTCTCTTGCAGGCAGTGATTCCTCTGCCTGCTTTGTCCACTCTGACAGGTAGTGCTCCCTCTGCTCACTTCATCCTCCCTGGCAAGTAGTGATCCCTCTGCCTGCCCTGTCCTCTCCAGCAGGTAGTGATCCCTCGGCCTACTTCGTCCTCTCCGACAGGTAGTGATCCCTTGGCTTGCTCCATCTTCTCTGGCAGGCAGTGATTCCTCTGCCTGCTTTCTTCCTCTCCGCCAGGTAGCGATTCCTGCTCCATCTTCTCTGACAGATAGGGATTGTGACGGTAGTCACCGTCAATGGGGATGAAAGAGAGACACTATGTGTGGGTCCCCAGATTCCTCTTGTGTTTTGGTCACCCTGTGCCCATTATTGGTGCAGGGTATGTGGAATGTATTGCATGTAAATGAGGCTGTTGGGGGCTTAAATGTGAGTGCTATGTATATTACATTTAGTTGCTGTTTTAAGTGTTGTCTGGTGTTTGGTCCAGTGTGGAAAAGGCCCTCAGTGATCCCAGTCAAGCCTCGTCGACTGGGTCTCAAGTGCTCCAGGGTCCCTGATAGCTACGAGGATGCAGAATACTGGAGCTCCGTCACAGTGATTCTTCTGCCACTATGGCAGGGAGCGTTCCCTCTGCCTACTCCTGCCACCACCTTTATAAAGATGCTTTTTGGCTCAGAGGCCCAGCTCTGGTGCTCACAGGTGTTACAACTCTGTAGCTGATCCCAAACACCAAGGAGCAGTACAGCCAGAGGCCTGGCCCTGAGACTCTGTCACTGGGCTCCTGGAAAGGATAACACTTAGACACTGTCACAAAAGGAACTGCATACTTGCTTTAATTTCAAACTGGTACCAACAGAGCTACATTTAACTTATGGTGAGGTTCTGAAAATAGTACATAATACATAAACACACACTGCAAATGAGTAGGAGAAATGTAAACATTGTTTCTGTAACTCCACCTTCACTTACTGTGCTCCGATGGGAGGTAAGAGGGAGGCACTCTGATCCAGGATACAGGTTGTGGACACAGGTAAATACAGAAGGGGGATTAATATATTTAATTACATTTTTCACCAGGGCTCTTCACTCATCTCATCTCTTAACTCTCATTGTGTGTTTCTCCTAAACCCCTTCAAATCCTGTGTGTTTCTTAAATTATTTCACTTTCTTTGTGTGTTTTTCAACCCACGTTACTTCTTCTGCATCTTTTAACCCCTTATCTCTTGCCTATTTCTTAACCCTCTTATCATTTTTGTCCCCCACATACTGACACAGTAACATGCATGCATTAAAAGATATGCAATCATACTTGCATTCACATAAAAACATGGACATGCACAATCGCACAGAGTCACAGCTTAAATGGTTACATGTGTGACAGTGTACTCCTGTTCTGGAGCTCCAGGTCAAACTTTATACTCAGCTGACAAATTTTTTTATGGGCTCCGTGGTCCTATATCACAGCATTACACGATTATATACACACAGTCACATGCACACGCACAGTCAAACAAACATACTCAGTCACAGCCACATAGTCAAATAAACACAGACACATACACTATGTAACATAGTTCCAGGCTCACACAAACAGTTACGGTTGAAGTCACACACACAATTACAGCCACATACAGTTACAAACACCAATTCTGCCTCCTGGGTACTAAATAGTAGGCATGTGGAACATGGGCTGGAGCACATTTCCTGGTGTCTAGTAGTTGGAAAACAGAGAATGCTTATTGTTTTCCCATTTGCATGCAGCGGTGTTTAGGAATACATGGCTGGTCCTGGGCCAGTGGAGTGAGCCTGTGCCTCTGCTGCTTCAGTGGGGGTGACTGCTCAGAGTCCTCGTCCCCTTCTCCACCTCCAGTTTAGCCGCAGTTCGGTTGCATCTCTGGTCAATTTCTTTATTTGATATAGTGGCTGCCCCCTAACAATAAAACATTGTTTGTTTGTTTTTTGGGTGTGATATATCGGACTCTAAATCACAAATCAAACAAAACTGTTTGGCCATTACTTGTGTTGTTTGTTAATGATATGCCCATAAAGTGCTTTTCTAATTATGGAATCCGGATAACCTGCCAATCGGCCAAAATGCAGACGAATTGCAATTCTTTTGAAAATGAATGAAGATGTCAAGCTCACCCCTTCTTAATTAATTCCTAAACAACTGCCTGTGGATATAGAGACTTGCAAACTTTTTCCCATTGGGTTCTTGGATAAAACATGGACTACTGCCGAACGTTAATTAGGTCTTTTTTTGTCACTAAAAGAGTGGAGGGCTGTTACTTAAAGAAGATCCAGTATTTACTTAATGCCTGTGTGTCTGTCTATCGTTATCATTCTCTCTATATGGTAAAAGAAAATCTTCTTTAAGAAATGCAATCATTATTTACATTACACTCCCAGAATGACATGCAATTATATGCAAATCAGTATACACAAAATGTTATCAATAAAATTCAAAGATCTAGACGATATGCAGGATTCATATATAAATATATTTTGTAAATGTAGTGTATTCCATATTCTGCTAGTATGGCAAATTGGTAAAATAAATTTTAAAATATATATTTTGATTTGTGTTCCATTTCCCATTAACCATAATAGTGACCTACATAAATTAATATCACCTGGATGTACCCAGTTGCAAGATTAATATTTCATTTTCATTTTTTGCTTTCCTGATGAAATTACAAATCAGGATTAATTCTGAGTGACCTTGCGTTGGCAATTTTCTAATCTTGGTGTGTTATCCTTTCTTCTTCAGGGATAACTGCATTGCCATTAACGTGCTAAGTCATCGGCAATCCTTCATATCAGAGATGTCCGGTGTTTTAAGGCCAAGGGCCACGTGCAATTCAGAAACACAAGGAGGAGGATGGGAAAATAATATTAAATCTATTTTAATGATGTACCAGATGAGGCCTTAAGGGGAGCGTACCTATCATATTATTATACAAAACTGCTATATTTAATACGTTAAAAGAGGAGTGGAAGTTAAAGGCGGTGAGGTCCAACAATAAATAGCGTTAGGGTCAAAATATGCTAAATAAGTAAGTAAATGCTGACCATCTAATGTCTCAGCTGTCTATAGAATTTATAAGGAGAAAAATAACCAGTCACACTCAAGGGTTAAACTAGACCTGTCTGAGAATGAAAATTGGCCAGATTCCAGCCCATTGACAGAAATTGCTTCTACTGTATAGATTGGTTTTAACAGGAAACTTTGCTTGATAACTCCAGGAGATATAGGCATTTAAAAATAGGCCTGTAAAAGACTGCAGCTGCTGCAGAACAGCTTGCGGTAGAGCTGAGAAATGCGCATTCTTTTCTTGAAGTGAACCCAGACATCATCACGTAGAAATTGAGAGATATGCTCCCCAAGAAGTGCTGCAGGCTATAAATATTGCATTTAATGATCCCCAAACACAGCCCCTTAAAACCATTTATCATTTACAGTCATTTTATTCACCGTAATACACTGATTTAATTAAACTGTTTGCATCTAAAATATTTATGCACAAATACAATTTTGGTAATTTTCCTAGGTTTTTGAAAAGTAAAAGATAATTCCTTCTTATATTTAAAGGGTTAATAAAAAGTATAAATGTAAAAAAAAAATGGACATTTGTGCTCAAGCAAGAGCAAAAATATTACCCTAAATTGTAGGTGCAGACACTACAATGCTGGAGGGTGAAATGATAATATTAAATAGTACGGCAATAGTTCAACGTGTTATTTGGAGAGATGGGCAGTTAAGGGAAACTGGGAGAGTAAAAACATGAGGATATTTATTATATACAAATGACATTAAGTTATTTTATCATCTTGATGTGTTAAGTCATTCCCTCCAGTCACAAAATCATCCAAAAGTCTTAAACGCTTCATGAAAAAAATAACTTGAAATGTATCCCTTCATCTCTCATTTAACCCAGTCTGACGCTTTAGGATGAACAAGTGTTTAAAAAATGTCATTATCATTTATTACAATGGGGTAATTGCAAAAGTATTTATAAGCAGCAACACATGAGAGCGTATATACACAGGTAAACCCCCTCCCTCCCCACATGTTGCTGTGAGTACCATACCTGGGTCAGAGGCATCCCACCTACAGCCAGGTAATTCAGGGCTGTAATTTGGGGAGGGGGTCCTGCAGCTCCCCCGGTCTCTCCCCTGCTCTGCAGACTCTGCTCCCTTATGTGTGTGCAGTGAGTGAGTCTGGGACTGAAGGACAGGATCAGTTACTATAATTATGTGCAGCCCTGCCCATTCCTTGCCTCATCTCTCTCTCGCTCTCTCTCCATTCTTAAAGAAGCACTAACCATGCTGTCTATGGCTGTCACTCACACTGTGTGACATGATGCTGCGTTCAGGAGGTGCTGATCTCCCTGATAGCCTCTATCAAAGTTTTCTTCACTGGAAGGGGGAGTGGGCTGATTATATGTATGGTTAAACTTAAATGACAAGAACACTTAATTAACTTTAAAAGTTACATTTATGAGTAAATAAAAAAAAATACCAGAATTAATTTAAGATGTTGCATTTCAAATACTATGTGTAAAATGAAGAATGTCATGTGAGTACATTAACGGCACATTGTTCATTAAAAATAAACTTTATTACAGAGCCATCTATATAGAGTGCTATTAAATATCCCTAACTAGGGTTAATGGGTGCCTAGAGTCATATTACATGTCCCCAGCTAGGGGGCATTATATCATGACATTTGTAACTCAATATTCTCTAAATCAGATCCCTGTATTTATATTTATTACAGGTCATTCCATATGAATTATCATATATATAAGAATACGAGTATGATAATGTATAGCATATATAAAAGCATGTTAGTATTTAATATTACTTAATTTAGTTCTCGGATTTACTTTCAGGTAGAAGATGGGGATATGACTGATGGGAAGTGTACACCTCTGCAAAGTACGCCTGCTGACTGTAATAACATGCTGTTCTATAGGAGTTCTTTTTGGGGATATTTACGAAACAAGGATGTCTGGTGAATTTACAGTGGAATAACATCGTTAAAGCCAAAATAACAAGCTGGGAAAATAAATGAGCAACTAAGGTTTTTTTGTTTTTTTTTAAATACAATTTTCACATCTCCACAATCCCTGATATAAGCACCAAAACGTAGTGAAATTTGTTCTAAAATTTAGGTAAAATGTCTATAACTCAAAGTTACAAATTGGACGATTATTTTCTATAGCTCTCATCTATGCTATTCTACAACATACAAACCAACATTCTGCAGCCTACATGAAGGACAAAAACCAAAAAAAAAAAAAAAATAACCCACTTGATTGCATCCATTAGTTGACTTATAGAGTAACCAGAAAGTGAGAAAAAAAAAAAAAATGAGGAGATTGCAAAATGCATGTCAAGATAGCTGAAATGGAACAATTCTGTAACTTAAGCTATATTTCCAGCTCGGCTGCTTATGCCCACAAATTCTGATTCCCTTGTCAAGTCTCCACAATTCCCACATTAGCAAATAACCTCATTTATGTTTAACACATGAATAGCCTGTGAATTGTCTGTACAGGAATCCCATCATATAGCATTCTCTCACTGGAAAATGAAACCCCACTTCCATCATGACTGCTGTTTATCTGCAATATTAATGAGAAGAGGAAAGACGATCATAGGCCTGGCTACCTGTAGAGACCGTCCCGGAACATGGAAGCTGTTCAGTCTTAAGACGATCGAGAGGTCAAGGACTTTCCGTCGTACTAATACAAGTGGCCAATTGCAGTGATGTCTCTCTGGTACGTTGGGCTTTTACTTTGCCACATATAAGAAAGTGGCAGTAATCAGAGAGGAAAGGTGTAAGCCTTATCATCAGAAAGCCAAGGATACTGAAACCATTTACAGCACGCTGATAAATGGTTGGTCTTCTTACAAATTGGAATTTGATAGGAACAAAAGAGCAGCATGTGTAAGGACACCGCTTTAGAATGGGGGGGGAGGGGGGGCTTTTTTGCATGAAAATACATTTCACTCACTAAATTTTAGAGAGTCTGGTTTTATCGCACACATCTTGTGATTTGAGACAGTAAAATGTAATGTATATGGTATTTATTAACATTTTACCATTAGTAGGCCAGGGTAACAATGCAGCGAGGGACTGTGGGAATGGGTAAGAAGGCAATTTGGGATAATTAAGTAAACAATTAACATGTGGTTATATTGTCCTCAGAGCTATAATGCATTATTTTCTAACATAAATGTAAGTTTGCACAGAGTTCCTAAACTTATAGATGAAGATATGTCGCATTTGAAATATGGATTTTTTTTAAGCCCCCATGAATTATTTGCATTATATTTCTTTATTTAAAAGATATGACTGCATTTTAAAATATTCAAGAAGAAGAAGCTTTTCCAATGGCATAATAAAATAAGGCTAGTTCATGTGTCAAAATTGGTTTTCATAAGACTGCCAGCACTAAGTCTCTTTTTACGTCAATGATGAATCCATTACTCTTAATAGGTCAAGTATAGACAGCCACTAGAGGCATTCTCTATAACTGCAATGTTTTACATTGCAGGGTTAAGGGGACAGTGCACCCAAACCACTTCAACGAGAAGTGGTCTGGATGCTAATAGTGTCCCTTTAAAGCAGGGGTGGGGAACCTTTGGCCCTCCAGATGTTTTGGACTACATCTCCGATAATGCTCTTACATCCATATTGCTGGAAAAGCATCAAGGAAATGTAGTTTACAACATCTGGAGGGCCTGAGGTTCCCCACCCCTGCTTTAAAGCATGGTTGTCTAACTTTATGGATGGAAGAGGGTCCTATAGGGATTTATAGTGCTAGGGAAAAATCTGTTTTTCTAGCACTATAGTTTCCCTTTACGTATTCCAAATTAGGGAGCCATGCACTTGTATATATATATATATACACACACACCCACCCAAAGACCTATACACAATCATACACTGACACGAACAAATACACACATAATCAGAGACATTCACACACAATCACAGACCTAGACAGATAATCAAACACAATATCACAGACATATACAAGTCGTCTGGGAAGACCTAATACGCATGCGCGGCAATGACTGCACGCACATTAGATCTCCCCATTAGAAACCATTATTCAATGCTTTCCTATGGGGATCCCGGCAAGCCTGGAGGTCCTCATGCATAGCAGTGTCTTTTCACTGCACGCACATTAGATCTCCCCATTAGAAACCATTATTCAATGCTTTCCTATGGGCATTACGGCGACCGTGGAGTTCCTCATGCATAGCAGTGTCTTATCAAACACTTTTCGTGTTTTAAGAACCCAGAAGGTAACCCGGAGGACTTGACCCTGCAAGATAATTATTGCAGTTTATAAAAACTACAATAATTACACTCGCAGGGTTAAGGGTGATTGGAGTTGGCACCCAGACCACCCCAATGGGCAGAAGTTGTCTGGGTGCCTGGGGTGGCCCTTTAAGAGGTTCATCCAGCCTCCCTACCTTGCTCTGGGTGGGCAGGACTGGATCCTCTCCCTGGTGGCCAGTGGTTGCTGCTGTGATAGGAACATTGTGCTCTTTCTGCACATGGCCCTCGTGCGCCCAGTAGTGATACCGATGCTGGGAGATGCTGATTGGCCAGGGCGGTGTTTGGCTACGCCCCCACCCCTCCTCGTTAAAAAAAAAAATGGTAAAAATTCAGAGCCTCCATGCAGAACGTGGAAACACTGAATATCACTGCTGCACATTGACAAGAGGAGCCCTGCACAGCGTTGGAAAAAGGGGAGGTTTTTAAAAGGGCTAAATATTTTTGTTTAACGTTATAGGGTCAGGAATACGTGCAGTTTGTGTTCCTGACCCTATAGTATTCCTTTAACTCCTAAATTTCGAAATGCGCAGTGAGATTTCAGGGGCATAATCAACACACCAAAATTGTTTCATTACGCTCAAGTTGTTTTGGAGTCTATACTTAAAAGGCATTCTATAGTGCCAGGAAAACGGCTGTAGAATCCTGCAGTGCCCCCTCCCTCGCGGCTGAAGGCTTTAAAACCCCTTCAGTCACTTACCTGAATCCAGTGCCGATGTCCCTCGGCGCTGGGTCAAGCTCTGCCCACGCTCCTCCTCTGTTGTCAGGGGGAGACCTAATTCTCATGAGCGTCAATGGCCGCTCTTGCATTAGGATTTCCCCATAGAAAAGCATTACTCAATGCTTTCCTATGGGGAGGGGAAATCTGACACTTGTGGTCCTCATGCATAGGGAGAGGACGTCCAGCGTCATATAACAGACCAAATTCAAAAGTCCCTCTAGTGACTGTCTGGTAGACAGCCACTATAGGAGGTGTTAACCCTACAGTCGTAATTATTGAAGAACACTGCAATAATTACCATTGTAGGGTTAAGGGACGTTGCAACCAGACCACGTCAATGAGCTGAAGTGGTCTGGGTGCCTACAGTGTCCCTTTAATGCTGTCACAATATAATGAGGAAAGTAAATTTTCATCTGACAATATTGATAAATGCATCCTTTCCTTCCTGGGATATGTACACACGGTATTCTCTATGAAATGCAAAATGTAAAAAAGATTTTAGGCAGAGGCTCGCACTAACAAGTAAAATTACCACATTAGAGTTTGAGTTTTCTAATCGGCTGCAGCTGGAAGAAAGAACAGCATAAATACAACAACTGAATCTCTAAAGTAAATGTAAAGATTGGAAAATATTATATATATATATATATATATATATATATATATATATATATATATATATATATATATATATATATATATATATATATATATATATATATATCTATCTATCTATCTATATATATATATATATATTAAAAAGTAGAACACCTATGTCTATAAACTATATTAAAGAAGAAAAGAAAATGAATAGGACAAACTTTTTAAAGGAACACTCCAATTGAGCTGAAGTTACTATGGTGCCAGAAGGGCCCAGGGACTCCTCCAGTGTAAATAGGGTAGGTGACTGGTACCTGGGAAACCCCAAGTAAGTTGTCAGACCATTCGTGAGTTGTAGTGGTTATGGTGCTTGTAGTGTGCCTTTAACATCCAGTGAGGAAATATACCATGTACATGTTGGAGTATTTGTTCTAAACACAGGTAAATGTAAAAGTCTGAAAAAATTTCAAAACTATTGAAACCGTTTGAAGGTAAATGACAGCAGAGTGGTTTTATAAAAAAAAAAAAAAATAAATAAATAATGTGATTACAGCAGATTTGTCACACTTTTGCATTGGACTATGCACTGCTGTTTTGTTTAAGAGATTCTAACATTGGGCTTGACTTTCAATAGTCAAGATAAATGTACTAAGACAGAGTTGTGGGAAACAAGAGGGCTTCAGCATTCACAAGCAGTTAGAAAAAAGTGAGATGTTAAGAATATTACGCTGTATAAAGTAGAAACAAACAGAAGAAAAACATAGAACTAAAAAACAGCTTTGCTGTAAAGCTATTTTCCCTGATGACAGACCTACTTTAAACACACGGTTTGCCATTTAGATTACATGCCATCATTCTATAGACTGATACGAAAGTATAATATAGATGTTGCAATTGGTTGAGGCATGACAAGAAGGATTCAATGACAGGTTGAGAACACGAAGGGTCTTCTCCTCAAAATGATTACACATTGATCTTAAACAATTCTTTTATTTGAGAGATTGGCCCAACATGGCAAGGTTAAGTACAAGTCAAGACTTCCAGACTTTTAAAACTCAAGTTTAAACTGAGAAATTAGAACACCAAAGAGCCAGCAGAACATGAGGATGTACCCTTCCTCTAAATCCACATACTAGTGCATTTTAAGGGTAGAAAATATCTGGGCCTCCAGCTGCTACAGACTAAAATATGCCCTGCCAAAAAATAAAGCTCACATCGGTACAGCAGTAGTCCTATTACATTTTGTAGATCAGAAAAGTCAGTGAGTAGATGGGCAGAACACTAAATGGGATAGGCTATAGTGATCAAACATTTTAGACGCCCCCAAAAAGTATATTTCATAAAAACCCAAAATAAAGAACATAAGGTTCCCCAAATAAGTGCTTTTAATAATCTATGAAACTGCAGCATGGTGATATTATAGTTGGTTGCATAATTCAGGAAATATATATGTGTATATATATTCAATATCCTGAAGAAAGAGACAAACTTATTAGAACCTGGAATCAGATTAGCCTATTCATTCGATTATAGGCCATTTTTAACACATGGTGGTTTAAAAAAAAAAAAAAAAGGGATAATTTAACTTGCTTCACATTCATCCCCTATTTAATAAAATGTAAAAAAAATTCCAGCCAAAATAAAAGAGGATGAATACATTGTAGCAAATAGCAGGCAGACAATGACGTGATTCATTAGTTTCAAGCCCAGTCCATCAACAATACAAAAACAGCTCCAGGTAAGGTCTGACTATTTTAGCTTTATTGTAAACGTCAGGAGCCAGAAGTCGCCCATTGGACAAAGACTACAACCCAACACCTGTTTCCTCAACATCATTCAGGAGGGATTACAAAAAACACTGAAGCAGCAGAGTCTTGGTCAACAAGAAAACAATACGCTTACAGTTCTGATTTTTGGATTGCTGGTGTAAAAACCTGTACTCTCGCTTTCTCAGGCATTTGGTAATTTACTCCTTGATTCCATGCAAGAACATCATCACCAAAAAGCAAGTGAGCTTAAGGACCAAGTATCAGAAATCTCTCTTAGCTCAAAATGTTCTCTCCTTGTGTCACCCACTTGCACTGTCTAGAAAGAACAGTTGCGTCTGTCATTCTCCTCCATCCCGGGCAGGATGTCACTGAGGAGGTAGAGGTATTCCTCTGGGGTCAGTGACTTGACCTTCCTGCAGGTTCTTAACCAGCTGTGCCAGCCAGCGTTTGGTTGTGGTATCATCCTTCAGTACCTGGGCAAACGTGGTATCTTTTAACTGGTCGGGAAGGCACTGTCTCAATGCCTCTCGTGCTCTGGAACAGAAAACATGTGAGTGAGAGTGACCAATAAACCAGAAGCATATTGCACATATATAAATACACAGTTTAACCCCTTCGTGACGAAGTCAATAGTGCACGTTCTGATCAAAACAAAACGTAAACAAAAACTGTAATTTACCGCTGTCACATTAGGTGCACCCACACTTATTATATATCATTTTGTTCAGGAGAAACAGGGCTTTCATTTATCATTAACTATTCATATATGGAACATAATTTATTATGAATAAAATTTAAAAAAAAATGTGAGAAAATAAGATTTTTTTTTAAATTTGTATTTCCATCTGACATTTTAGCTGTGAATGTCATAATACTGTTAGGTTTTACTGCAAAAATGCACATATTTGTAATCAGCGATGTCTCACGAGCACAACAGTACCCCCATTAACAGGTTTTATGGTGTTTTGGAAAGTTACAGGTCAAATATAGAACGTTCCATTTTCAAATTGAAATTTGCCAGATTAGTAATGTTACCTTTGAGACAGGTGTGGTAGCCCAGGAATGAGAATTACCCCCATAATGGCATACCATTTGAAAAAGTAGACAACCCAAGGTATTGAAAGTGGGGTATGTTTAGTCTTTTTTAGTAGCCACTTAGTCACAAACACTGGCCAAAGTTAGCGTTCATATTTGTTTTTGTGTGAAAAAAAGTAAAAAAAAACACTAATATTTGGTAGTGTTTGTGACTAAGTGGCTACTAAGAAAGACTGGACATACCCCATTTGCAATACCTTGGGGTTGTCTACTTTTGCAAATGGTATGCCATCCTGGGGGTAATTCTTATTCCTGGGCTACCATACGCTCTTAAAGGCAACATAACCAATCTGGCAAATTTCAATGTCAAAAAAATGAAATGCAAGCTCTACATGTGACTCTCTAACTTTCCAAAACACCATAAAACCTGTACATAGGGGTTACTGTTATTCTCGGGAGACTTCACTAAACACAAATATTAGTGTTTTAAAACAGTAAAACATATTACAACAATAATATAGTCCATAAAAGTACCGTTCGTTTTTAAAAAATGCAAAAAACGTAACTTTTACTTAAAATATCATCGTTGTAATACAATTTACCAGTTTGAAACACTAATATTTGAGTTCAGCAAAGTCTCCTGAGTAAAACAGTACTCGCTATGTACAGGTTTTATGGTGTCTTGGAGAGTTACAGGATCAAATCTAGTGCTTGCGAATTAAATTCTCTGCACTTTCTCCCTGTGTTGTCAGGCATGTCAATCAAATTTTAATTAATCAAATCACATAATTATGTTAAAAGATTACTTAAATATACACGTAGAATTTTAATATATATGCATTTATAGGTATTTAAATTCTACGTGTATACTAATGTAAATATATATATACATACACACACACACACACAGAGATATATATATTTATTTATTTGTGGTCAGGGCATAAAGCCATAGAATTAGTAACATAAAACAAACAGTGCATGGAACAGGTCAGTTGTGGTGTGCCGTAACTGACGAGGTAGTAGGCCTGAAATAAAAGAGGGCCTACCTTATGAACTAATTATAAAAGGAGGTGTGGTGGGTGGGAGAAATCACCAGACCTAAGACAGTACTGAGGGAAGTGCTGGTGCTCCTAAAGAAGGGGAACCAAGCCCCTCCCACAACTTCAGGCCCTGCCTTCCATTTGTGGTCAGGGCATAAAGCCGTAGAATTAGTAACATAAAACAAACAGTGCATGGAACAAGTCAGTTGTGGTGTGCCGTAACTGACGAGGTAGAAGGCCTGAAATAAAAGAGGGCAAAAAGATGTAACCAGTTTATTCAGCCTACAATACATATATAGATATATATATAGAATGTCATTCTAAGTGTATTTTGTTAACAATAAATATGTATATATTAATAACAAAATACAGTTAAAATGAAATTACATATGAATATATAATTTATAAAAAAATTTGTTTCAATATTTTATTTAATTTTATTATTTTCTTTATTATTGTAATTATACATATATACATATATATAATATATGTGTATATATCTATTATATACCTATATTATATATGAGAAACATCATTCTAAGTGTAATACTAATATGTGTACTTATATTAATATTAAAATACACTATGTATGACGTTACATATAAATATATATAATATGAATTTATATTATATATGTTTATAAATATATTTTATTTTAAACATGTTTAATTCTTTTTTTTATTTTAGTAGGGACAGAGTCAATCAAAAAAAAAAAACAACGTTTCGGCTGAAAAGCCTTTGTCAGCATGCTCCCTTGACAAAGGCTTTTCAGACGAAACGTTGTTTTTTTTTTGATTGACTCTGTCCCTACTTCTCACTGAATTTGGTATGGTTTGCTGCATTTTTTTATATGTCTGGGTTTTCTTTATACTAGTATTATAGTGGACTGTTTGCATGATATTTCTTTCATTCATTTATTACGCGTTGAGCGTTTATATTTGCCTATATCATTGCTTTTCTGGTAAATGCTTTTGAATAGCATGACTTTGTACCTCTGTGGATAATATTTAAAGAGACAGTCCTATAGTATATACCCATTTAATAAAGATTTTTATATATATATATATATATATATATATATATATATATATATATATATATATATATATATATATATATATATATATATATATATATATATAAAGATTTATGGTTGTGCTCCTTACTCTATTCACACTGTTATATAGTTTGGGTTCTTTAGGGAATAGAGCCTTATGTGGGTGAGCACCCAGTATTTATTATATTAGCCTTTTCCTGGGGCTATTTTGTTGTTTAGTCGAGTGTGCCCGCCTTGTTTCCTTTGCATTACCTTGGTACTTTCTGTCCTGCAGCATGGCAGGGAGCACTCATTTTCACTGCACAATCTCTGAAGGTAAACTTCCATTACCTGTTCCTGTGTGAGCCATTGAGAGGCACAAAAAGACATATCCCATCCCCTCCAGAGGGAACTGCAACTTCACTCTAACATCTCAACATGCATCCACAATCCGGGAGTCTGTGGTAAAACCTATAGCATGCCACTTGTCAGATCTAGAGCTGACACTCTTATTTGCAATCTCCCAGTCAGCTCTTTGAGATCGATAGTAGGTCATGTTTGATATTTGGCCATTCCAGCACAGAGGTTGTGCACCCCTACTTTAACCACAAGAAATAATAGAATTTAAAACAAAGTCAGTGACTTCTCCCATTTCCCTGATTATATTTTCCCTGTATTGGATGGTCATGCAATCCAACCAAGTAGTCCAAGCAGTGCACAGTTTGAGGACAACTGAATTTTTAAGGTGACGCAATCTCAGGTAGCAGCAGGACAAGGACATACGTATCATGGTCAGCTAGAGATTAACTGAAGTTACACTTAATGGAGGCTCTAAATGAATAATGGCAACTGTCGGCAACTAGTTTCAGACAAGACCAGACAAAAAGAGCCCTAACACTCACACCAACAGTCACCCTAATGTGAACACAAGAGATTATATACATATATATACACACACATATATATACACACATATACATACACACACACACTCACACAACCAAACATTTCTGTTACCTTGGGTTGTCAGACAGGCGAAGGTAACAACGGACAACATGTTTCAGTAGCCTGGCGGATGGCTCCTTAGAAAGCTGCAGCACCATTTTACCCTAAGTGACAAAAAGTTAGAAAGGCTGTTGGATTTATTCACTACCAGTATCTGATGGATAGTCATATCTGAACATCTTAGTTATCTTTTTAATTCTAGGACAAGCAAACAATCATGGGATTAAAAATATTGCCTATTGCCCCAGTGTTCCGACCTAGTGTACCTACTAGGCATATCCAACCATAACATACAGGAGAAAAAAAAAAAAAAAATAAGAATCAAGAAAGAACACAAAGAAAAGGATAAAAAGAAGGGACACGGCTGGACAACCCCACTGCAACACACAGCATATTGTACACCCTTATAAACCCTGACTGAGGAAGCATGTTAAAAATGGGCAACACCACTCTGCTTGGATATACACTTCAATCTAGGTAACCGAAGTGCAACACATTTGTCTGACCCTCACTTAAAGCAGATCTGCCACTATTATTATTATTATTATTATTTCTTTTGGCATGTTTAAACTTAGCCCTTCCCATAGGTTTCCAGTTCAGGTATATGGAACGTACATTTAAATTCCACTTTCAATTCCAAACAATTTTCTAATTTGTGATAAAGACATTATGACGTAATGCAAGCATCAGACAAACCATAGTAGAATCTATTTTCATCTACTAGTTTAACCAAAACAAAAGTAAAGTCTTACCAAAATCATAGCAACATGAGAAAACCTTTCATAGGTCTGACAGATATACGCCAAACCTGTATCATCCAGCAAAATCTTCTGGAGGATGAACGTAGCAACCTACCACAGACAGACAGAAGGAGAAGCGTTAGTCATGTGCAATTAGAAAACAAGTGACAAGCAAAAGATATCTGAGAGTAATGTGCATAAAATGTGCATTAAAAAAAATACAAAAAAAATTGTACTTGCTCACATAATCAAATATTTCTAACATTTAAAAATTCAGCTACAGAGGATTAACCTGTAGAAATATAAAAAATGTGCTTTAGAAGAATTGGCAAACTTACCAGTAATTAGACACTACTGCTGATAAGGCATGTACCTTACAATATTAAGAAACTCTACACTAGACAGGAGAGAGACAGGAAGCCGCACAGCAGCAAAGATAGGAAGAAATAAAAACATGAACCAGCTAATTAAAGGAAAGCGACAATTAAGAGCAAATTAGGAAAATGAAAAAGCAAAAAAACTAAACAAAACATACTGTTTTGGAGAGCTCGCTACCAGACTCCATAATACGCAGGCACAGCGGGATTATTTCTGTGGTTAGGAGGAAATTAATAACTTCTTGTTCATCTGTCTTGACAAGTGCTCCTATTAAAAAAAAAAAAACACATAAGTACAACTCTGTAAGCTGGTTTGGGCAGGGTCTTCTTCAACTCCTGTCTCTGTGTGTAAATTACTTGTGTTGATTGTTTTTCAGTTTAGACTAAATCCCCACTAGCTTGATGAGGACCAGGTTGGCAGAGCATCTAGTACTTCGTGCAAATCTGCAGTACAACAGTTATCCATCACTGCTCTGGAGAGACACTTCTATGAGTTCCATTTTCGCCTAATGATTGGCTCAAATAAGAATAGATAAAGAGAATACTATAGCAACAATAAAGTTTGATTAATGAATTCCCTTAGTGACCAGACTGTTTTTCAATTTTCTTACCGTTAAGGACCAGGGCTGTTTATACATTTCTGCGGTGTTTGTGTTTAGATGTAATTTTTCACTTACTCATTTTTTGTTGTACCCACACATATTGTATACAGTTTTTCTCGCCATTACATGTTCTTTCTAAAGATACCATTATTTTTCTGACATATGGATTGTGCTTCCTAATTGGGACAAGCATCTGCAAGATAGGGGATTAAGAAAAGTCCCTCCCCTTTACCATATAAAGGGCTTCCCCAGCAAACCCTACTCAGTTCTTCCTATTCCCAGCATGATGAGAAAAAAGAAGAAAGCAAAAAAAATGTAGAGACACCTAAGTGTTAAATCAGTCAGTCCCAAAGGTTCCCTACATATGCAAAGCAACCCAAAAGAAATTGATATAAAACTTAACTTTTAATAGGATTCCTTCTAAAATCAATAACTAAGTGCTAAGTGAAAAAATAATAAATGGATAAATCAAATAAAAAGAGAGAAAGAGAGCTAAGAGGTAAATAGTAGCACAGAGAGAAAAGATTCCTGGTGGGTCAACCTGAATCCAAAAGTATCTATGGTGAAAGAAATGCTAGAATCTATCTCACTGTTATACAACCTAATCTTGCTACTCCTTTCCCTCAATGATCTCGAGCGTTAAGCTCCTTGCTACGTGCGACAAAGTAACCTCTATTGGAGGATCGCCAAATTAATAGTATAGTCTCAATACTAGTGATAGGGAGAGGGTGGTATGCCCGGAGCATCACACACAAATTATACTGATAGCTGCAGCATTGTCCCTAGTCTGACTCGAACCACCCGCTCACTAAACTAATCCCGACGCGCATTTCGCCACACTGGCTCTTCCAAGGGAACCGAGTTAGACGCCGGCAGTCATTTAAAAAGCCCGCCCTCCCCAATGATTGGTCTACATTCAACCAATCACAAACGAGGGGGTGGAGTCAAGTGCCGAAGCCGGTTGCCCCCTAGTCAATGGGGAAACCGGCACGGATTGCAAATATAGTAATTGGATATCTATATTGATACGAAATCCAAGAGAAATAGTATGAAAATAATAAATGAAGTGGAATACATCGAGGAGTACATCCGTGCTTCACAGATTTGTGGGTGGAAAGTATACATATGATGTTAAAAAGGAACAACTATGGAGACAATTAAGCCATTGCATAAACCATAGACAAATGATAAAAGAATGATATACAGTAACATTGAGTCATATAAAGGGATTTCCAGTGATAATTTCAATAGATACTGAACACATGCTTAAAGGGATAGGTCCTTCTCCAAAGGAAAAAATTATTATAGCTAAAAACAGACAAGTCAATTGTATTTCAAAAGAGCATAACAGAAAAAATTGTTGTAAAAAAACAAAACAAAGTGTGGATGTTTGGAGAGTGGTATGATATTCCACTTGTAAAGGGAGAGAGGAAAGAAATAGAGCTTAATTGAAGACTAGATCCAAACCCCAATTGATGTAAATAACTGTATCATTAGGGATCTATTTGTGAATGAATGGAGTAAAATTGAACTCCTCATTCAGTCCCTTGGGGTATAACGTTTGGAACAAGTAAATCCAGCAGGATTCAGCTTTCAGTAGTGCAATGTTACTATCGCCTTTCCTGTGGTTTTGGAAGACCTTTTGAATTACTTGGAATTTAAGTACAGTAGGTCTGGAATCATGATTTAGACGTACGTGTCTCGCTATGGGAGTATCCATATGTGGATTTAAAATTGAATTGATATGTTGCAAGACACGTCGACGTAATTGTTGATAGGTCTTACCAATGTACTGTAGTTCACATTCACATGTGATGATGTAAATAACATTGGTGGATCCACAGTTAATAAAGGAGTTCACCTCAATATCTTTCGCGGTTTTTTGATTTCGTACTTTTTTGGATGGTAAAATGAAATTGCAGGCCTTACAATGCCCACATCTGAAAAGACCTTTCGTCTGAAGCCAAGTTGGCTTAGTTGGTAGTGGTTTCAAATGACTTTGGGTTAGTAAGTCTGCAAGGTTATTAGCTTTTCGGTACGTTAAGGAAGGTTTGTTGGTAATGGTATTCTTGAGGCATGTATCATATTGGAGTAGTGGCCAGTTGCGATTAAACACCTGTAAGGTGTTATTCCAATTTTTATCATAGGTCCCTATAAGTCTGGTGACCCCAGCAGTAGATTGAATAATCTTGGGGGGTTTGTGTAGGCTATCGGACCTATTTACAGTTTTGGTTCTTTGGTAGGCTTTTTTGAGAATACGGTTCGGATACCCTAGGTTTATGAATCTCTGTCTGAGAGTTTTTGCTTCTTTTTCATAGTCTTCTGGGTTGGAACAATTTCTTTTTGCCCTAAGATATTGGCCGTATGGTATATTGGCCTTAACATGAAATGGATGGAAACTGTCCCAATGTAATAGACTGTTCGTAGCGGTGGGTTTTCTATATAATGAGGTGGCTATTGATCCATCCTCTGCCAGAGCTATTGTGAGATCCAGAAAGACTAGGTGACTCTCATGTATAACGTGAGTAAGTTTAAGGTTTATTTGGTTGATATTTAAAGCGTCTACCAGGTCTTTAAATAGTGAAAAAGAGCGTAACCAAAATATTAACACATCGTCAATGTAACGAAACCATTTGAAAATTGACGAAGTGTACATAGCACAGGTATTGGTAAACACAATTGTTTCTTCCCACCAACCCAAGAAAAGATTAGCGTAACTGGGTGCACAAGACGAACCCATGGCAGTACCCCGTAGTTGTAAATAATATTTCCCGTTGAATGTAAAGTAATTGTGTGTAAGTACAAATTGTAACAGGAGCAAAATGAACTCCTGTTCATGTGCATTGAATGTTTTTGCTTTTTCCAAAAAATAGGCTACTGCTGCTAAACCCTTATCATGTGGAATGTTGTTGTACAACGCCACTACATCCAAACTCGCCAGGGATGTGTATGGGGGCACCGTAAGGTGTTCCAAAACTAAGAGTGTCTGTTTAGTGTCCCGTATATGTGATTTTAATCCTGTCACCAGGGGCTGTAACAACTTGTCCAAGAATTGGCTTGCCCTCTCTGTTAGGCAGTGATTCCCCAAAACGATTGGCCTACCCGGGGGGTTCTGAAGGTCTTTATGTATTTTCGGGAGACAGTAAAAAGGTGGCAATGGTGATGTTTGACTGAGAGACAATAAATCTAAACTCGTTTTGGGTAATAACGTTGTCAGTACAAGCTTTTTGTGCTAAAGATTGCAGTTCCACCAGGAACTTTTTAGTGGGGTCATCCTTCAATACCTGGTAGGCCATTTTATCCGTAAGATGTTGCATGCACATATTGACATATTGGTCTCTTTGCATGAGGACAATGTTCCCTCCTTTGTCTGATGATTTTAAAACAACATCTGTTGCTAATTTAAGTTCTTGTAGAGCCTGTCTCTTCTCCTTTGAGATTAGAGAATTGGGATAATGAAGGAGTTTGATTCTCTAATTCGTTAGTGCAAATCTGTACAAATAAATCAATACATGGAAACTCCTTCAAGTTGGGAGTAAACCAACTCGGAGGTTTAAAATTGGTCAATGAATCTGATATGTTCTGTTCTGAATGTAAGTCCGTAAGTAGTTTGAAGAGTGCATTGTCCTCTGGACAAGCAACCCAACTTTATACCCCTGTTCCTATTCCCTTTTTCTTTCTATTCCCAGCATGGGACAGATCAAAGTTCTGTTGAAGGTGAGGCACACAGGTTGCGGTCTGGGGGAGGAAGCCCGATAGCCGCCCGGGTGGTAGGCTGAGTAGTATGGCTCCGTCCGTGGAGGTTCCGGAGCCCTTTCTATTTAACTCTGTGCAGAGTATGTTCCAGCTTGGAGAGTATGGGCGGGCCAGAGGACGCCTTCATTAATGCAGAGGTGTTGCGTTCCACCTAAGTTCCGGTTGAGCTATTGCGCATGCAGGAACTGGAACTTTCGGGAAACCGCCAAGTGTGTATCGCTGTGCTGTTCCCTCTGGCAGCAGGAAGCTTGTCAGAAGGGTTCCCCGTGTCACCAACCCCCCACACGGCTCAGAGGTTTTCAAGGTAAGATTGGCTGATCTTTGCTTTGAAAATCTGTTCTGATTAAAATTGCAAGTTATGGATGGAATGGTTTTGCAGAAAGTGGACTGTATGTGCAAGATGGACTGTTTGTATACCGTGGAATGCCTCTGCTATACACAGCTTTAGCTTATTGTATCTGTGCTACTCCTCTTAATATGGTTCTGGGGTTTATAAAAATGACCAGGGTGCTGCAATTTCTTAGGTAAAATTAAGCAGAGAATATGCAATCATTCCTATCTTTGAATCTTATAGATAATCAAAAAGTGTATCAGCTGCTCTGCCTGAGATGATCCGCAGAGACAGAAGAGAAGCGTCCTTCGATTACTTCTAATGTCTGACGAATGTTTATTTACCTCTTCTGAAGACGTCTGGTTCATCATACCAACTGTGTGGAGTTGGTTCCCACCTGATGTACGGAGAAGATTCATTAGGAATGAATCGGTCATGGGGCAGGATAAATCTGCTAAACTTTAATGAGGGTTAACAGTTCCTCAAACCCCATGTCTTTCTTCTATGCAGAAATGGAAACACTGTAACGAGCCTTTCTTGTCCGACGTTTACCATCAAATGGGTGACTGTTACACCCCCAGGTACACTGGGATTCCATAAAATTCTGCAGAGGGAGCTGCTTTCAAAACCCTGTCGTCAAGAAGGCTGAGACCTCTTGCAGACAATCTTTCCAGACTGGTATGGGTCTTTGCTGGCAGGTGCAGCGGTGTCCAAAACTTACTTTGTTTACAATTGTTAATGGAGGTTATTTAAGTCTCCTGATAAGCAGCTCATCAGTTTCCTGTTTTACTTGTGATTATCACATACTTTACATGGATTTGACAATGACAGCCAAGATCATGGGTTGATCTGATGTTTCACTTATATCTTGGTGGCTTAAGCTTGGATGGCAGATCAGCGTCCTTTTCGGTCCCCCGTTTACTTCCATTAGGAAAAGGGGTATCTTTTATAGCCTTTGTCAAAAAAGCTCTGCCTCAAAGACAAGTAGAACTAGGTCCGACACGGGTAGGCGTTTCAGACGCCTAGAAGCTTGGAGGCGTAATCCTGCATTTCTATACGAAGTGTGGATAGCTCAGTGGGTTTAGACCTTGTTCAACCCTTGGGGTTCACAGGTTCATTTCCCCTGAAGGGCTGACTCAGCCCTTCATCTCTTTGAAGTAGATGACTGGAGTACCATTCAATGGGGTCACTTAACATTCCCAGGATGCATTTGGGAACCAGTATATATCTGAAGGTTTCTTGCCTGGCTTTTTAGTAGAACCTACTTGCAATCACTGGATTCTTGATCTAGTTAAAGAGGGCACCGTTTACTCTTTTCAAATCTACCCAATCCATAATCTTACAAACATTTGATACTCTAGTTACAGAAACAGTGTTTCTGTTGGATTCAAGGAGTTTGAGATATGGTTCTGTGAATCATGAAGTTCGTGAGGTTCCTCAGGTATCTCCTGGTTATCAAACTCTAAACATTCCTTTAAACCAGTTATGAATTTAAATTAATTGGTTCCTCTCCTGAGGTTCAGAATCGAAACTTCTGTAACGGATTCTGCAGAAAGGAATTTCATGGTAAATATATAGATCACAGAGATATATTTCCTCAAATCCCTATTGCGGCCCCTCAAGAAGTTTTCTTTAAAAAAAATGCCATAATAAGTGGATTGAACAGATGTCATTGCTCTTCAAAACACTCCCATAACACCATATTTTAGGGAACGAGGCAATCCCTACTTGGGAGTTTGGCTACTTATTGCTAATCGGGATGGTTGCCCTTTAAGTATGTTCAGGTAGCTAGCAGAACTCTACAGCAACACTGTTGGATATGGAGACGATACTGTATTTTCTTCTTCTCCAGGGAACAGAGTTTTTTGAGGTTCATGTTAACCTTAAAACATTATCTCTGCATCTACTGCACTCATAAAGGAAAGGTCCAATCACTAATAAAGCGAAGATTCCTCCATAAGGACAGGAAATGAGATTGCTGAGATGTCTGACATCTTCAATACCTGCGGTCAACTGGTCAAAATCTGGATTTGGCCGCTACCGTGGAAAATTCTCTCCTCTGGATCAAAGTGTGGAAATCTTGGATTTCTGTCTCCTAGACTCTCTTCGAAAAAAAGCAGATAGAAGGGGTAATTTTCTTCACAGAATGCATCTAACACAGGCTGGGTTGCTTGTCTAAATTCTCTAATGTGCCAGTGTTCTTGGTCCTAAGAAAAATAGTCCAGTTTCAGAGCTCTTAAGGCAGTTCTTCATTCTCCTCACCAATTCAGATCTTGGTTGATTGAGGGACCTATTACAATGCGGTCAGACCACGACGCGGTTGCCCTCACTTCAACAGACAGAGCGGTGCCAGAGGCAAGCTCTGTTTCAGCTATGTACCAAAACGGTGTACTGGGTTCAGGATCTCTGGGAGGTCCTCTCTCCATTCCACTCATGATGTGTTGACAATGTCATCACCTATAACCTCAGCACAAGAAATTAGGATCAAGAGTAAGGGTCGATAGATCCGATCATGTTCACGGTCTACAGAGAGATTTGGAGTGCCCAGGATAGACCTTATGGCAAAGAGGGAGAACAAGAAGATTCTCATGTTTGCCTCACTGTACAGGACAGATAGTTCACGTGGAATAGTTGGTCTATCTTTCTAAGGGTATTTTTCCGGGCTTACATTTTCTCCTATTGACTGTTCATAACGTCTTCATAAAAGAGGTGAACAGACACAGCAGTGGCTCTGCCAATCTTTCCGTACTGGTGAAACACAAGCCAGTTTTTGGCCTTGGTGGAGATGACTTTCAAGTTTGGGGATCTTCCGATATCGAAAACACTTTTGGAAGACAGGATATCCTACTGTAAGTGTTAAATAGGATTTTGCATCCATCTCCTGAGTCTTCATATGTCAGAGTCCACTTGTTGCGTATAATCTTCTAGTCGTTCCGCCTCTAACTTTTACATGAGGATTTGGGTAGTGTGTACACATTGTTGTAAGGAACGTCATTGTCTTCTAGTTCCGTTGTCCGGTTGGTTCAAATTTACACTTCCTGCAGGAGATTTTTTTTACAGGTTGGGCGTTTCCACGTTAAAGAGACACTCCAGGCACCCAGACCACTTCTGCCCATTGGAGTGGTCTGGGTGCCAACTCCCACTACCAGTTTTCATAAACTGCAATAATTACCTTGCAGGGTTAGGTCCTCCTCTAGTGTCTACTAGACAGCCACTAGAGGACACTTCCGTCTTCATAGAACACGAAAAGTGTGTTATAACGAAGCTGGACGTCCTCCAGCGTCGCCGAAATCCCCATAGGAAAGCAATGAAAGCATTACTAAATGCTTTCCTATGGGGAAGTCGAATGCGCGTGGAGGAGCGTAGGCGGAGCCTGACCCAGCGCCAAGGAACATCGGCGCTGGATACAGGTAAGACACTGAAGGGGTTTTAACCCCTTCAGCAACTTGGGATGGGTGGTGGGAGGGAGAAGGGACCTCCAGTGCCAGGAAAACGGTTTGTTTTCCTGGCACTGGAGAGTCCCTTTAAGACCAAATTGTATTTCTTGAGTTCTTTCTGAGAAGGGATTGGTCTTTGTATATGCTGGTTACAAGTTCCATTAAAGCAATAGGCTTCTTAGGCCACACAAGAAGTTCTGTTTCCCTCCTGGGATCTTTCTTCAGTCTTTCAGGTCCCCTTTTACTTTGGAGGTGGTTCCTTTTAATATGCTAAAGCTTAACCAGCATTTTTAGTAGCCATTACCTCTGCCAAGAGAGAAACTGAGCTTCAGGATATATCTTCTTAATTTTTTTGAAAGGTTGTGTTTCATCCTAAAACTTCAATTCTTCCAGAGTTTTCTTTTAGAGCCGTTAATTAGCTCATCCTTCTATAATTATGCCACCTCCCCGCTGGAACTAGATGGCATATTCTAGAGTTTACCTATCAATATCAGCCGAATTCAGAAGATCCGATTACATGTGGTCAATTTCTAGGAAAGTTTTAAGGGGAATAAAACCTCTCGTAATTCTATTTTTCGTTATTTCGTCTATCATAATGGCCTATGCTTTAGTAGTATCGATTCGCCAGCATCTTTCACAGCGCATTCCACAAAAGGCAATGGCCACTTCGTGGGCAGAGAAAAACTCTTGCTTCACCTGAAGAAATCAGCATGGCTGCTTCTTGGTCAGCTTTTAGCACCTTATAAAAACGTCAGGCATTTTCAGGCTAGATGTACTCTCGGCCTCTAAAATCGCATTAGGGCTTAGGTACTTCAAGATATTTAGGCATAAGGCCAGCCCAATTGGAAATCTTGCTATATCCCATACGTAATGCCACCATATGTCAGAAAAAACTGAAATTTTTACTCTACGTAAATAATTTTTTTTCTTAATATGGTGGCAGTACAAATCTCCCTCCCATTAAATTACAATTTTGCTTACAGTGTGTGGCTTAGGTGTATATTCTTGCAACAACTGAGGTGGGTTTGCCAGGAAAGCCATTTATAGGGTAAAGGGGAGGGACTTTTCTTAATCACCTATCTTGCAGATGCTTGTCCCAATTAGGAAGCACAATCCATAGGTACTGTCACCATATTAAGAAAAAAAAATAATTTATGGTGAGTAAAAATTTCTGTTTTTCATCATTTTTTATAAAATGATGAAAAGGTAAAAAAAAAAAAAACCTTTTCTAACTTTGACTAACTTGTGAGGGGTGTGTACATACATAAATATATATAAAACACAATGGTGTATCATTTACAATGGGAAACCAACCAATGAAAAGTGTAAGGGGATTGATACTCCTAATTGTATATAAGAACTGAAGCATTTTATAGATACTATTGATCACAGCTTACCAATTACTCCAAGGCTGGTAAGTCGTAGGTATTCAAACGGTCGAGTCTTGCTAACAGTGTGCAAGAAGGGATAGAGGAACAGAGGAATGTGGGCAGCGAGAAACGCAGACCTGAAAGGTAATTGATTGACAATAGAAAGCAGTCAGGTACCTCTCACAGTACAAACTATACTTTAACAGTAAAAAAAAAAAAAAAAGCTTAAATCAAAACAATACAGATTAATGGCTGACCAGGAATAATATAGTCCCAGCTGCAGTTTGAAAGGTCCACAATTGTTGCTCTATACCAGGGTTGTCAAACATGCGGCCCCCCAGATGTTGCTGAACTACAACTCCCATGATTCTTTCAATGAAACAGATAGCCAGGGAATCATGGGAGTTGTAGTTCAGCAACATCTGG